AGTTACGTGCACTCTTTGCACCCTCTCAGCTAATGGGTTGTGTAATTAACGTATGTTTTTACACGCTACTCCCTATTTACTTTTTCTATAGCACATCCTATAAACAATAAAGTATCTATGTTTATGCATGTAACATATAGATGTTTCAGTTAAATATTTTCAAAAGCAATAACTGGAATGTCCAATTACTTGCCTCGCAGGTCTTCTCCAGGATGCGCATTGGTTGCGCAGGCTGAGTTCAGGCTTACGTGCATCTGCTCCAATGCATGTGTGGTCAGCCACCCGCTACTTTCTGCTCGATGGGTTGCAGGCTCCATCGTGCAACATAACACGCTTGGAGAGGAATGGCACGGCCTAAAGTCGTCCACTGGAACGGTAGCCGGTTGGCTTCCTCTGGGCCTTTTGGTCACTGATGGATAATGTGGTGTCAAATCCAGGCCTTGCATTTCATCAGCATGTGCTATAAAGAATTTTTCAGAAATATCAAAATGAGGCATTTCTAACTACATAAGAAGTTCGCAAACTGCTAACTGGATGGTTTGTATAGATTATCGAGGATATATACTTTATTTAAAGACAGATAAAAATCATGCTAATGAGTTACGTTGGGACCATGCTGTCATGTACTCTTATGAATGCAAATTCTGTTGAGTATTTGGAAAAATATAAACATTTGATGCAACATTCATAACAGGATGCAGCAAAATCCTGGGTTGTTGGGGCATCTCTAAAGCATGGGTGTACTTGCAATGGTGTCCCTTCGCAGCACGGAAAATATTCTGGATCTATTCAGAGCAGGGATTACTCATCTCTGTGTTGCCTGTGTGTGTGTGTGTGTGTGTGTGTGTGTGGGGGGGGGGGGGTGACACATTTCCCTTTATCAGAACATGGCCCAGCCGTCAGTGGGAAGCCCCCGCCTATGGAGAACATGATCCCCGTGTCTCCTCCGTTGGCATTAGGAAAGCAGGTCCTTTCTGAAACTTTAATTGGCCTGCCTTGGCACTCCCCTGCTTTAACGACTGTCAGATCACACGTTTCATCCTTGCCCTCTGCTGTCATTCCTCTGTTATGTTATTACCAGCCACATATGAATAGCTGCGATACAGGGCAAGAGGCTGGCTTTAAATCGAATGAACTACACAGCAAAAGCTAATATGCATGGATGTGGGGATTCGATGGTCTGTGTGTGTGTGTGTGTGTGTATTACGTTTATATTACTTGGTGGGGGACCAAATGTTTTTGTGACGTTGTGGGGACTATTTTTTGGGTTAAAAAAAAGAGTTAAGTTGCCAAAAGACTTGTATTTTGTTCGGTTACTTATGGTTAAGGTTAGGGCTGGGTAGGGGTTAAGGTCGTCATGCTGTGATTAGGGTTTTTCCCATAGAAATGAATGGAAGGTCCCCATTTAGATAGGTACGCCAATATGTGTGTGAGTATGAGTATATGTATGTGTGTACTTCAGTTAGAGAGAAAGTGAGCAAAAATATAAAATAACTATAGTGAATTAGTAATACCAGTAATACTACTAATCGTGGCCTGACTTATGCAAGGGCCAACCTGGGCTGTAGATCAGGGCACTGGGCTGTAGGGGGCACCAGACTTTTTTCTTAGTTGTTACAGCAGCATTTTATGCAGTAGGTAGGGCCCAAACCCCCCTAAATCACAGTGTTATTTTGGTCATGTTGTCTCGTTAGCTACTGTGTCATAGATAGAGACAGTGTTCTCATTAGTATCCAGGATATGGTTAGCTCCTGTTAGCTTCTTGTTAGTCTGCTGCCCTGCTGGCATGTCGTCATGGTCAGTCCTGCCAACTCATCCCCTGCCAAAAACATAAACACTTGCTACGGACAAAATGAATTCTTACAACGTTCCTCTAAAGACCTTCTAACTCCTAATTTATCTTTGTGCGGCATGAAATTAAACACGACAGAACATTAATTCCCATTAATTCTGGTGCACAATAGGCTTATGCTAAGAGAACTCTGCTTCATCAATGAGAGTGATTCCCAGTTACATTCTAGAATACAGAACATTGCTGTGAAGGTACTTTAATAATAAAATAATTTGATTCAACCGACAGATAAAAATAATTCTTGTTTTTTTTTCAGTTTAGTCAGGTTAGTGTGTCCTCTAACTTTTGCCCTGTGCTACCTGCAGTAGGCTCCAGGTTCACCATTACCCCCTCACTAGATAAGTAGTTATGCATGATGGATACATTATTAGTAGTAGAATGGCTGAATTTAGTGGGATGGGGACCCCTGGGCTAAAGTCATTGCTGCGGCCCAGATACAGCATAACTGTATAACTGTAGCAGAACAATATGGCTAACTGTATCAGAAAACTATGGCTAAATGTATCGGAACACTATGGCTAACTGTATCAGAAAACTATGGCAAACTGTATCGGAACACTATGGCTAACTGTATCAGAAGACCATGGCAAACTGTATCAGAACACTATGGCTAACTGTATCAAAATATCATGGCTAACTGTATCAGAA